TCTCTCTCTCTCTCTCTCTCTCTCTCTCTCTCTCTCTCTCTCTCTCTCTCTCTCTCTGTGTGTGTGTGTGTGTGTGTGTGTGTGTGTGTGTGTCCCTGTCCTACAGGAGTCCTGGGAATGGGGACAATGGATACATCCATTAGAGTCCTTGGGGACCATTGACCTATAAACTTTTCCTCCTGACTTATTCTACAATGATGGCATCATTCAACAGAGGTATTAAGAATGACTTATTATAGTTGGGTGTGGTGGCTTTAATCTCAGAACTTGTGAGTTTGGGGCTAGCCTGGACTACATAGGGAATTCTAGGATTGCCTCAACTATACATAAGGCCCTCCAGCATCCCAGCCCACCCCGGCCCCAGAGGCGCTCACCGTCCAGCTTCTTCAGCTTGGGCACCCTCTTGGTCGCTTCATCAATCCAGTTGCCCTCGGCAGAGTGCTTCTCCTCCAGGGGATTGCCAACGAACACCAGGTCCTCCAGGCACGGCAGCTCGGCCAGCTTCAGGAACTCCGCTGCAAGCACACACACTCCCACGTTGGTAAACTTCGGGGTTGCACTCTCGGAGTTTGGGGGACAGGACTCCGTCACTAACTCCATTTGTGACTATGCAGGGCAGTGGTAAGAGTCTGAAGACTAAGAGAAGCTTTACCTTATAAAGCCATTATTATTGAGGAGGTGATGGGATTGGGAGGGGGTGAAAACCTCTCGTCTCCCTTTAATACTGCCCTAATGATGGGATGAACAGAGAAGGCTCCGTGCTGCAAACAACAGCAATCGGTGTCTGAGGTGCTGCATCGGGGAGCTAAGCTAACCCCCCTTACTCTCAGCACACCTCATCACCTCTGAGTTCTCAAAGCAACGCACTCAGATTCTCACCACAGAACTTGGAACCCTTTTAGAATTATCAGTTTCCTAAACATGTCCCTCTCAGCTGTCAACTACCTGGTGGTTGGAATAATATTCCATCCACCCAACACGCCTTTTGAGCTTTTGGCGTAGTTTATGGTATAAATACAGCAGGGTGTTAGAACATGCTGGAAGTGCCGGGCGGTGGTGGCGCACGCCTTTAATCCCAGCACTTGGGAGGCAGAGGGAGGCGGATCTCTGAGTTCGAGAGTTCGAGGGTAGCCTGGTCTACAGAGTGAGTTCCAGGACAGCCAGGGCTACACACAGAGAAACCCTGTCTCGAAAAAACCAAACAAACAAATAAACAAACAAACAAACAAACAAAAAAGAACATGCTGGAAGTATACCACACAAAAGAGACAAAAGAGGCAGAACAAAGTAGTCATCAAGTCAGCCTTCCACGGTCATTACATTGAAATGAATGTCTCCAGCCTTTGGATGACACATTTTTTTTTTCCTGATTAATAGGACCAAGACCTACACAACCATATTTACTATAAGTCACTGTATATGTGTAGTGTGTGTGTATGTATGTGTGTGTGTATGTGTGTGTGTAGATCAGAGGCTGACATCAGATCTCGTCCTCAAATCAAGGGCTAACACCTAGAGACAGGACCTCTCACTAAACCTGGGCTCACTGACTCCACTTGACTGGGTATCCATCAAGCCCCAGACCCTTTGTCCTCCCCACCCTCCCACCATTTAGACTGCAGAAGCCCACTGTCTATTCCTAGCTTTCATGAGTACTGGAGATCTGAACTCAGGTCCTCAGGTTTACAGGGCAGGCACTCTGCCCATGAATCATTTTCCCAGGCCTAAGTAAATAGTTAAATATATACACTTCTCGTATTTAAAATTTGGAATTTCTTTTTTTTTTTTTTTTTTTGGTTTTTCGAGACAGGGTTTCTGGAACTCACTCTGTAGACCAGGCTGGCCTCGAACTCAGAAATCCGCCTGCCTCTGCCTCTGACTCCCAAGTGCTGGGATTAAAAGCATGCGCCACCACCGCCCGGCGATAGGTAAGTCTTAAACTCTGTCCTGCCTCAGCCTCCAGAGTGTGGGGCTTACAAGTGTGCATCACTGCGCACACCTAGCTCCTGTTAGCTGTTTTCTGTAAACAGGAGGCAGGAGCCTGCAACAGTGCTCTCAGCTTACCCCAGTCTTTTACCAGGTTATTTGACATGTAGAGAATCTTCAGTTTCCTCATTACATGGATCCCTTTCAACTTCTCAATAAAATTATAGGAGATCCACAGTTCTTCCAGCGTGTCTCCTACTGCTTCCTAGGAAGGAAAACATTGGGTTGATACTCTTATTTTTAACCTGAGTGCCTGTCTCCTCCCTTACAAACACACAGAAAGGCTTTTAAAGAGATGTGAGACTTGCCAGTCAACCTGCTGAAGAGCTGACACTCTGTGGAAGCTCTAGTTCATGAAGGAACGGACAGAACATTCCCTCCCCTATTAAGTGGATCTAAACTCTGTTCTCCAATAGCTTCACAGACATTCAAAATAGCTACTAAAATCACAACAGGAGAAATAATGGCACCACTCGTCATCTGAATTGAATGATAGTTCCAAATTACTTTTTCCCCCCTTCCCTTCTCCCTTGTTACTCCAGCCCTGCTTGCTCTGGCCCAAAGGTTTTTATTTTATTTTTTATATATAAGTCCACTGTAGCTGTCTTCAGACACCCCATAAGAGAACATCAGATCTCATTACGGGTGGTTGTGAGCCACCATGTGGTTGCTGGGATTTGAACTTATGACCTCCAGAAGAGCAGTCAGTGCTTTTAACCGCTGAGCCATCTCGCCAACCCCAAAATTACTTTCTTATAGGTTGTATTATTTGGTCCTGAGAAAACTTAAAAGTAGATAAACCAGTTTAGTTTCTTTGTATTATGTAGGGCTCTAAGATCTCATTTGTATTAAGTCCCAGAACTTGCTCTAAAATTCAAGTTTTGCTCAACATTTACTGGAGAAAAAATTAATTATTAACATTGAGAGAATTTAGCATTTTAAGAGCCCATATATCCAGAACATACCACGCCCATTTTGCTATATTTATCCTACCTTATCTCTCGGTCTCACTGTGCAGGCCTCAATCTGGATCATTACTGTGTGCCAGTGTGTCACTCCTCAGGAGTCACCTACCTTGTTCTTTGAGACAAGGTCTCTCAATGGCTTGGGGGTCATCAATTTGGCCGGGCTGGCTGGCCAGCAAACCTCAGGGACCCCACCTCCACCTCCCCAGCACTGGATTACAGTCACACACTATCCCTCTTTTTAAGTGGGTTCTGAGGGTCAAACACAGCCCCCTTGTACTGTGCAGCAAACACTTTACCAACTGAGTCATCTCTTTAGATTCTTATCACTCTGATATATAAAATTCAGTTTTTAACACTTGACCTTTCTATTAGCATAAAAGCTATTATATTATACTGCCTCTTAAATCTTAGACAATCATTGTTCACCATTTGCACAAAGATTTTCAGTAACATTAGACAAATACAATGATCTTTTCCTTTACAACAAAGCGCTGAGCAGGACCCACTCAGTTTCTCTTTGCGTGTCTCCCCCACCCATTACAACTTGCATATCCCTTCACGGTGACATCTGCTGGGCTCAGATCTAACTCTGGGTAATTGTCCTCTAAAAGAATATGAAAGAATAAAATCCTAAGTGAATTTTTCATCATGGCAAAACTAGGAAGAAAGTTGAGAATAGGGTAGCCTGGGTCAACGCTGCCATCTCAACTCCAAGTTTTAACTTTCCAAGTAGAAAGTGAAGGAATTTTAATCATTCTGTCTTGGCATTCCTATACCAGAAAATTGTGACTTAACTAAGTTTTCTAAACTAATATTCTGACATCTCCCAAATGATTCAGTTATAATATCACACATAACTTTTAGAACAAAAGAACTAGTCTTCAGATGATTTAAGGTCTCTTCTACATACTTTCATCGTCTTGGATCTCTTTCTCATGTCTCCATGAAATGTGATGAGGCAGCAGAAAAAAATACTAAAAACTGAGAAGACTTAGCATGCCTGTGCTCTGGGTTCTGTCCTCAGCATGACACTGTGAGTACTGAAATCAAACAAGGGGCTTCTTGTGACCAGTATGTAGGAGGTGTGGGAGTGGCTTTATTGGCTGCTGTGAAGACCATTTTGGATCATACAGTGACAGATCATTATTGTTTGATCTGTATGAAGAATTCAGATAATATAACATTGCTTATCACTTTACAATGTGTAATTTATAAACTCTTAAGGATTATGTGTAACTGACTACTTAAGTATACAATGACTGGGTTCTCTTCTCCCTCAGGAAGCTCCGGACTTAAACTCTACCTGGGCCTTACTCTACCACTGTGTTACAGCCCCAGGGTTTTTTGTTTGTTTTTCAAAGCTTTTTATCTTAGATATATATCACCTGTTGAAGAAAAGCTACCTCATTTATTGCAGCAATGAGAACTATAAATTCTCAGGAATACATTTTTGCTCAAGAAGTGTAGAAGGCTTTATAGCAGTGGTTCTCAGCCTTCCTAGTGGTGTGACCCTTTAATACAGTTCCTCGTGTTGTGGTGACCCCCCAACCAAAATTATTTTCATTGCAGTTTTATAACTGTAATTTTGCTACTGTCACTAATCATAACATAAATGTCTGTGTTTTCAATAGTTGTAAGCGAACCTTGGGAAGGGGTTGTTCAACTCCGAGAGTCACAACCCAAATGTTGAGAACCACCACCTTATAGAAATCAAACTTGTATATAATTGTATTGAAGAACAACAAAATGAGCTAATCTTCCTGTAAGAAAAAAATTATTGCTATAAAGACATCAACCAAACCAAATAAATCTATACATTTAATGCATTTCTATTAAGATTTCCAAAAGGAATTTATATTCATAAATTCAACAAAGTGATTCTCAAATTTCTTCAGAGTTCAAGAAAAGTCATAATCATTTTACAAGAGAGGACTTGTCCTAGTGGATATCAAAAATAATATAAAGCTAAAAAAAAAAGAAGGCACTGGGCAGTGGTGGCACACGCCTTTAATCCCAGCACTTGGGAGGCAGAGCCAGGCGGATTTCTGAGTTCGAGGCCAGCCTGGTCTACAGAGTGAGTTCCAGGACAGCCAGGACCACACAGAGAAGCCCTGTCTTAGAAAAAGAAAAAAGAAAAAAGAAGGCATCAGATAGGCAGCAGGGACTCATGAAAGGAACGAGAGGAAACTAAGCAAGCAGGAGCTCACTCGCACACACGGAGTTTAGTGGGCAGCATTCCCAGAGGGAAGGGGACTTTAAAAAGTGCTTCTTTTTATTTATGTGTATGGGTGGTTTGCCTGAACATATGTCTGTGCACTATGAGCATGCAGTACCTGCAGCAGACAACAGAGGGCATAAGATCCCGGGAACCAGAGTTACAGAATGGTGTAAGCTGACAGGTGGGAATGGGATTCAAACCTGGGGCCTCAACCAGAGCAGCCGGTGCACTTAACCACTGAGCCATCTATCCAGCCTCAAAAGAGACTTTTCTAAACATTGCTAGTCATTTGGAGAAACAGAAATAATGTCTGATACTTAGATACATGTAAAACTAAACTCTGGATGGATTAGTCATGTAAACTCTATTTGGTGTATGTGCACATGTGTGTATGACTATGAGTGTGTGTGTGTGTGTGTGTGTGTGTGTGTGTGTGTGTGTGTGTGTGTAGAAGCCAGAGGTCAGAGTTGGGTGTGTCTATCTCTATCAGTCTCCACCTTATCTCTTGAAACAGGGTTTCTCACTGAACCTAGAGCTCACCAATCTGCTAGGCTGGCTAAGGAGCTCTCAGAACCCTCCCGTCTCTGCTTCCAGTTGCTGGGATTACAAATGTTCCCCATGCCTAACTTCTCTGCATGCTGGGATACAGACTCGGGTCCCACTGTTTATACAGCAAGCATCACCCACTAAACCATCTCCTCCCCATTACCACCTGATGTACAATTAGCTGCTAGCATTTCTCCTATAATGTACGCTCAGTAAGAACTAAGATTGTTTTATTTTTCTGTATTATTTTCTGCTTGTTTTGTTTTGTTTTTTTCGAGACAGGGTTTCTCTGTGTAGCCCTGGCTGTCCTGGAACTCACTCTGTAGACCAGGCTGGCCTCGAACTCAGAAATCCGCCTGTCTCTGCCTCCCAAGTGCTGGGATTAAAGGTGTGTGCCACCACTGCCCGGCTATTTTCTGCTTTTTCAAGACAGGTTTCTCTGTGTAGCCCTGGCTGTCCTGGAACTGTAGATCAGGTTGGCTCTTAACTCAGAGATCCACCTGTCTCTGCCTTATGAGTGCTGGGATTAAAGGCATGCAGCACCACACCTGACTCACAAAGACTGTTAAATTCTACCATGTATCTAGTGCTTAGATCAGTCCCTGGCTTAAGGCAAGTATTTATGGGGCTGGAAAGGCATCTTGGTGGTTAAAGCACTCTGTAACTCCGAAAAGAATCCTAGCACCCATGAAATAACCAGGCATCCTCACAAAGATCCAGCTCTGAAGCAACAGCCAGTAGGGTCCTTGAGTGTTACTGGTGTCTAGACTAGCTGAATCCAGACTCAACCTTCCTGTTCTGGGAGAGACTGCCTCACCAGATACAGGTGGAGAGTCTACTCATCACGGCTCATCCAGTAAAAGTATTTGCTGCTGAGCCTGAGGGCCTGAGTTCAATCCCTGAGAACCATGTGTGGAAGAAGACAACTGAGCCCCAAACAATCCTCCTCTGCCATGGTGTACACACACAAACAGATGTAGACATTCAGGAAACGTGTCATATGGATATACTGCATGAATTATATGGTGACAATTGCATATTAAATTTTAAAAGGAGATACTGACCTGGTGAGGTGGTTCAGTGCATAAATATGCTTTCTACCAAGTCTGACAGCCTGAGTTTAATTCCCAGGACCCACAGGTGGAAGGGAATTGATCCCTTCAAACTGTCTTCTGACATCTACATTCATGCCATGACACAAGCATAAACACACATGTACACATGATTGATAGACAGACAGACAGACAGACAGATAGATAGATAGATAGATAGATAGATAGATAGATAGATAGATAGA